CCCTGAAACGATAAGGGAGATGTGGGGAGGAGGACACAGATGCTGATTCAGTCTCCGACCATGGAGCAAAGCACGCGGAAAGTGAGAAAAATTTCGAATATTTGTTTAATTAACAGCAAATGAGGGTTTTCAGCCTCATATTTTCTATTCTGAACGGAAGCTCAAGCAAAAAGACAAGGATGCAGTAATGGGAGAGGGGGGGGGGGGAGAGAAAAAGAAAGTTTGAGAATTTCTCGAAGTCAAAAAAGGCTTTGTTTGAAACCTTCCTGGCTTTAGCTGGTGCCGCGCCCTGGTGTGGCTGTTTGATTGATGGCCATTTTCAAACATAATTAACTTTGCTCGAAAGAGAGACAAGCAATTTTTTTTGCCCAATAAAATCACTACACCTTCTTGCGTTTGCCAATAATCCCATTATGCTTGAACAAAATCAGGCTTATTGCATTTTTCGTTTGCAGCGATTATGCTTCACCATCTACCACTTAGATTTGAGGCAAATTGAGCTCCGATAACCTTTGCGAATTTCGCGAGATTCCGCTCAGCAAATCATCTGTAGGTCAGTCCAAAAAAGTTATAATTGCAGGCCTAATCAAACCAACCATAGTGTAGGTGCCAAAACTTTCGGTGTAACAAAAGTAAAGGTATATGGCATAAGCGCAAAAAAAGGGTGTAGCTGCTACACTTTATTAAGACAGGGAAGCGGCTCAAATTCGATATCCGAAAGTAAACTGCTGTTCACTATTTGACCTTTAGACCGCACACACTGGCCATAAATCATGGAGCACATGCGGCGCGGCTCGAAATACAACAAGAATACGATTTGTACAATAGCGATTTGTACTCGTTCAAGAGTTTGGCCGCTTCCTCCGTGATACTATAATTTAATGAACAGGAGCTACTAGACATATCGGTGAAGAAGATACTAACCTTGCGTGATAGACCTTTTGTGTTCAGGGCAGACACGAGTTACAGGAATACAGGGTAAGAGATAAGGGGTCTTCAGTACCTTTTTGCACGATTTTACAATGACTTGCGAGGACCACCCTACTAGTTTACCATTGCCGGAAGGCAGAGAGTAGCTTACTTAAGGACTGGAAATTAAGTCTTGGTTTCTCCTAGTCAAGCGACGTCTCATGGCACTACCTCGCTATGACGACCTATGTTAATATCTTGAAAATACTCAAGTCTTTCTCGTGCTGTTATCTCGCATGCTCACGAATGTTATATTCATCTGTTACGTGGTTTTGTTACGGTGTTACCTTCAGTCAAATCCAGCGTGCGACGTTGCCCTTTGTTGTTCAAACATTTAGATTTATTGGACGATGCATCGGCTGCATGCTTCCGCCTTCGGGATCCATCAAGAGGGCGAGTCCCTACGGAACAGCACGCAACCAGAAGCAAGTCGTTCGCCAAAACAGAAGCGGGATCTGGTGACGAGTCTCAGCCGCAAGTGCACTATCTGCGCCTTTGAGAATGTGTTAGTTAGGCTCCGTACAGTTTCCAAGTGCGATTCGACCAAATTTGCCTGGACGTTGCATTTAGTACAACCTCCAGGTGGCTGAAGCACCCCTACGGGAAATTCGAGATTTTTCACCAAATGAATGAATACCGAATAAAATGAATGTCTAATGATATTTGAAAATTGAAAATACTGAATGGACAAATATAGACTAAATCCAAATTTCAAGATTTTGAATAAACGAATATCGAATAAAATCCGAGAATTAAAAGTTTCCAGCGAACGAATGTTGATTATATTTAAACAATGAGGATTTGTTAAGAACTGTCCACAAATCATTCAGAATGATGATAAAACACTCTAAGAAGTGTTCTATGCAGACCTTCTCTACTGTGATGGTTTTGTTCAATGATTCCGTCGATGTTCTTTCGAATAATCGCTACAAACTCCAACCTATTCTTACGTATCTCCTTCAGTTACTTTTCGAAATTTGAGAAAGCTTTGATAACAATTGGATAAAAGAGACAAAATGCTATAAAATCCAATTTTTGGCATCGATAGCTGCTTTCAGTATTTTTGAAGGCTTTAAACACCATAAAACCTTTGCAAATTGGAACTTCCAAAAATCGACTATGATGAAATACTATTTTTAACAAAGAAAAGAGTTTGTACCGCTTCGAAATAATGATTATGAAACTTCCAAGTGCAGCTTGGAGCGCATCAAAAAACTAGAATCATGGCAATTTTTTCCTCGAGACTTCCAAGAATTAAAAAGAAGAAACATCTGTCAAAAAGAGAAAGATGCATCGAAGATGCATACCCTAGTTGTTCAACATCTGATGTTCTACGAGGTTTGGGATAAACAAATATCAAAGTGGTAGCATGAAATCAATAATTTGAAAAACTTTGAAAAGCCATCTATCAATGCCAAAAATTGTATTGCATTGCATTTTGTTTACAATATCTAACTGTTATTGAAGCATTTTCAAAAGACCAAAACGAGAATTGAAAAAAAGCGAAATTAGAGGAGTCGAAAACCATGGGTTTTTGATGTTCTTTCGAGCGAACATTTGAGAAATACAAACATGAACATTACTGCTCAAGTGCTTGTCTGTCTTTGATTGATTAAAAGACAGGTCCAACTGCACAAAATTTCGGACCCATCTAACAAATATTTGAATAATTTATTCGAGTGGCTAGACATTCGTATAGTTCATTCTATATGTAAATATTCGAATGCTGTTTTGGAATATTGCAAACAACCATATCTAAAACTTGCTGACATGCCCGGCTCAGCCGATATGGCTCAGCGTCAAGCTCGAGTAATCCGAATACATTTTATCCGAATACGAATTGGAATGAGACATCGGAATAAAACATTCAATGACAGTGGCTCGAAATTTTCGTTTGCAAAAATTCGAGTTCGATTTTTATTCGAAATCCCGCTTTTCAATTATTGCAGTTTTCGAATTTTATTCGAAATCCAACTTTTTGATTCCCGAGTTTTCGACTCCTAGAAAAGGGAAAACTCGAGTTTCGAATTTTGTATGGAATCATTTTGATTGAAGGATCGATTATGATTTGATTCCGACCAAAGTCTACACGCTACCAAGACACCGCAGCCCCGCCAATATGCATTGACAATCCCTCTTAAAAAGGATAATACTGACTTTAATTCTTCAATAATGTAATACTGCTAATTGAAAAAAAACTTGTTTACTGGTTTGCGAGTTATCAGAAAGGAATGTGGTCCAGAAATAAGGAGGACAATAAACCGAAAAGCAGTAAATTCTTAGTGTTGCTTTAGAACTCCTGCCAAACAACAAGGTTAATACAAAGCTTGAGCACCATCGCGAAATTTGATGTGACGATTGAATAAATAATGAATATCATAAATAAAACTGGTGTGTGTGTGTGTGTGTGTGTGTGTGTGTGTGTGTGTGTGTGTGTGTGTGTGTGTGTGTGTGTGTGTGTGTGTGTGTGTGTGTGTGTGTGTGTGTGTGTGTGTGTGTGTGTGTGTGTGTGTGTGTGTGTGTGTGTGTGTGTGTGTGTGTGTGTGTGTGTGTGTGTGTGTGTGTGTGTGTGTGTGTGTGTGTGTGTGTGTGTGTGTGTGTGTGTGTGTGTGTGTGTGGAGAGATAAAAGAGGGGGAGGGAGTAGGGAGAGATAGTGGCTGGCGAGGTATTAAATCTGGTATATGTGTGCGCATTACTCATGTGAGAATGATGGGATGAATTTGCTTGTTAGGGGATGGCTGCCGAAATTTATCTGAAATTTATCTGCCGAAATTTTGTGGTTTATTATAAACTAAAAGTGGAAAAGGTAAAACTGGTCATGTTTTTCCCCCAGCTGTTTCACCCTCCCTTGCGCTCTCACGCTCGTTTAGTAGGGCTGTTCGCAAAGAGCTCCATTAAGCAGACCTCAACGATATGGTAAGGATCGTCGGCATTCCTCCTGCAAACCTGAAGCAGCAACTGGTACGAAACCGCAAGTATGACCATCTCTGTACAACTCCTCAATGTGTAGTTTGTTCCGTCTGGCAAGGAAGGAGACTTATGGTATCAGGTGTTTCTACTCAGACAGCGGATAGGACCCCTCCGCCGGAGAAATGGCAGGGCCGGAGACCTCCCATTTTGCGCTCCGGAGCCCTCCCATTTCTGCTCCGGAGACCTCCCATTTTCTGCTCCGGAGACCTCCCATTTGTGCTCCGGACCCCTCCCATTTTCTGCGGCGCGGCTCTTCCAAATCTGGCGGACTCGCGCCGGGCAAATTTCTCCGGCGCGGCTCTGCCAAATCTGCCGTACCTCCGGAGCAGAAATGGCGGACCTTTGCAGCAGGGCCGGAGAAGCGTCCCATTTGCCTGCCAGTGATGTCACCGCGACGGACCGCCCATTTGCCCCGCTCTCATTGGTCAACTGGGTCCGGCGCGACTCTGGCAGATTCGGACTGTCCGGCGGAGGGGTCCGGTCGATTGTCTGAGTACCTTATCACGTGTACAACATGTGGAGTCACGTATGGCGAGATGGCCGCCTCCTATGCACGCGCTCAAAGAGCACTTAGATGTCAGCAAGGGCAATGTAGCTGCTCCGTTAGGCATGCATCGCAGGCTCAGTCATGACGACACAGAGGTGGGAGTGCAGGTTCGAATCCTGGCGCGTGAACCCGAAATCCTAGCGCGCAAGACACTCGAAGCGCTTTGGAAAGCCGCCCAAAATAGAAGAATCAACCGGAAGGACGCGTGCTCAGCCCCCTTTTTTCCAGTCGACAAGGTGTTTGAGCGACATGTTTTCGAATTTTTAGACTCTGAAGAAGGCGAGTTTGCCGACGTCAGTATATGTGAAATATATTGTGTGTTGTTTGTGAGCCGTGACCGAGATTGTCACAATATCACAATACTTCATCGGCTAACGTTTCGGCAGATCGCCTTCTTATTGTGGAATAAATATCTGTACCAATCTTGGATGCTGCTAAGAAATCAACCAGAAGATTCAAACTATGCCAAGATTTATGGATAGTCGAGCATGGATTTATTCTTTCATAGTTCAGAGTTTTTGCGAATAGAGTCGAGGACAAAGAACTGAAGGAAAAGTGGAAAGGCCTCTGTAAGGACTCTCTAGCAAACGAGTTAGAATACCTCTCGCTTTTTCTAAACTCATATCAAGGTAACGATTTGGGTTTCAACCCAATTTTTATTGAAAATGTTTATTAAAGGCAATTTTGGACGATTTGCATAGGCTTACAGAAATTTGCGCACAATCTAGTACAAAGATTACGGGTCTTCAAAATTTAGCATGCAACCCGTCCGCTCAATATGGTAGCGAGTGTTTTATACCATTAACGTAGCACACAAATGAGTCTCTTTTAAATTTCTGTCGTGTTGGTGCAAGTCACAGAATTCATCAAGCCTCGAGATTTCATCACGAATGTTACGATCAAAAATGAAAGTGGAGAGGAAAGCAAGTCAAAGTTCGGTCAATATGGGCAATATTAAAAGGTCAACATCTTTCAAAATGTTGTGAGGGGCATGACTTGGCACAAATAAGCAAGGGTGTGCGGATATTGTTGACAAAAAAGGTACACCTACAGTGCTTGACATAATTATAGAGACACTCTAGAAATCGTCGTAATTTTCGTTCTTATCAGTAAATCTGTCTGAAACTTTGCTATACTAAACTATATGGTGCGCATGTAAGCCTACCATAATTCCTCAGAACGGCTTCCAATCCCGTTGGTTTGGAACGGAGAAAAATGGAAAAATTCGAAAAAGCCTGTTTTGCAAGCTAGACATAATTATAAAGACACCTTGCCTTTTTAAACATTATCGCATTCCTTAAGTCCCAATTTCTATGTAGAGTTACATCCCAGAATATGAAATTTTGCAGCACCTAAGACTGTCATGCTACTCAAGGAAAGATGATCCTTGCATTTTTCGTTTCCAAAGGCACCAGAAGTCAAACTGCTTCAATAAGCAACTGGTTTGAAGACTTTTCAAGCCCTTGTTCATTTCAAATGATAATCATGGAGTCTACTGATCCTTCTGGATAGATGAGGTGAAGAGCGCTTTCGTAAACTCCGCGTAATCGCTGATTTTGACGGACAAACTCCAACCTCACCATAGGGTTGTCGCGCTTTCGCACCAGAAAATTCGATTTTCAAGTTACAGCAAGCGCTGCAATGTAGCCGCAACAATACACGTACAACAAGAGACTTGTGTGCCTAGTCAGGAAAAAATTTCGGGGTTGCACATTCTGGTTCAGCCGCAGTTTTCATCCGTTGTGAGTCGAGCACCCTGCACAATCATATCCAACTCAAATCAAGAAATCAGACAGGAGACCGCTTGAAACTTCAAAATCTTACTAATCTCAGCTACCGCGCAAAATGCGACATGAAACAGAGAATAAAATAGTGAGATTTGTGATTAGTTGAATCTACTGCTCGCATAGAATTTTCGTTGAAAGTATTTCAGATCTAAATGGCAACTGCAACACTAGAAAGAATCTAAAAAATGTTGCAAAAGATGCATCTTCATGTAGACAATGTAGTCGAGTCCATCATTTCACGAACATTGGAAAGTGAGTTTTGTGGTTTAAAAGCGTTTTAAGCCTATGTTGAGGTTGGAGTCTGTCCGTCAAAATCAGCGATTACGCAGAGTTTACGAAATCGCTCTTCACCTCATCCATCCAGAAGGATCAGTAGACTCCATGATTATTATTTGAAATGAACAAAGGCTTGAAAACCCTTCAAACCAGTTGTTTATTGAAGCAGTTTGACTTCTGATGCCTTTGGAAACGAAAAATGCAAGGATCATCTTTCCTTAAGTAGCATGACAAGTCCTAGGAGCTGCAAAAGTTTCATATTCTGGGATGTAACTCTACAAAAAAATTTGGGAGTCAAGGAATGCGATGATGTTTAAAAGGCCAGGTGTCTTTATAATTAAGTCCAGCTTGCAAAACAGGCTTTTTCGAATTTTTCGAACTTTCTCCGTTCGAAATCAACGGGATTGGAAGCCGTTCTGAGGAGTTATGAAAGGCTTATATGCGCACCATACAGCAAAGTTTCAGACAGATTCACTGACAAGAACGAAAATTATGACGATTTCTAGAGTGTCTATATAATTATGTCCAGCATTGTATAACAATTTGATTGGATAATTCTATGAACTTCAAATTACTTCTGTGCCACACAGGTTTGGTAAGTGGTCTTTAATTCCAATCTCACGGCCCAACGTTTCGACGCCTTCGTCTTCCTCAGAGGCCTGAGAATGGTTCAAAGTGTCACCCAAGACTCAACGCCACCAAAGATCGCCTCCAAACGAGCTAGTTTTCGGCTTTCCCTCAGTCTTGCTAGTGTGGAAATTGTGCAGAGCTGAATGACGTACCGGAAGACCACCGATATGCGAGAAGTCCGCACCGGAAGTGAATGGTCGCGGCGGACGAATGAGTAGATGCACATCGAATGTGATCTATAGCTGACATAGCGATATGAAAGGAAGGAACTCAGCAGTGATTGACAGAGTTAATCATTGCTGAATTCTTCGCAAATCCAGAACCGCTTCCATCGCTTTCCTAGCCGGGGTCTCCCTTTCGTAAGATAGATTCTTACATTTGATGTTGAAATCGTTTCCTTTATGCGCTTCGCATCTGTGCTTTCCTAGCGGTGAAACTAAGCTTTGACGCCTTTTATCTGCTAAGTGTTCCTTCAAGCAAATGCTGTGTGATCTTCCAGTTTCTCCGATATATGATGCTTTGCAGCTAAGACATTCAATTTGGTACACCACTCCCACTTTCGCGCAATCTCCTAATCTACCATATGGACATACCACGCATTGCTCCGATGTACAACATTGGTCGTAGAGCCTGTTACGAACTAACTGCATTTTGATGTTGTTGTTCGGAATATTCACTAAGACGACATCGTCTTGCAGTTGTGCTCGTTGAATGCATTTTTGGAATGCCGCGCTAATACTATCAGAAATGAATGGAAGACAAAGTGGGAGCTTAGTACCGCATTGAACGCTGTTAACAAACGTCGAGTGCGTGGTAAGGAATGATAACCATTGCTGCAAGCAATATCAAGAGCTAACTTTCGTGATTCGCGTCGTTCATGTTCTCCGGAACACATCTGCATCGCTGTTCTGAACATATTTGCAATTACGGCTCTTTTCGTAGATGCAGGATGTGCAGATTTTACATTGACAAGAATATTCTTACAGCTTTCCTTGCGGTACCATTTGAAACTTGCGATGCCGTTGGATAACCTTACTTACTTGTGCGTTAAGGTAGGGGAGCCATCCGTCGTGTGGTGTTCACGAGTGAGCTTTATGAACTGCGACTGACGATTGAGAGGTTCGAAACACTCGTCCTTTTCGGACTGTGTGGAGGTCACTATGCAGCAATCGTCGATGTAACGGCAGTACATAAGCGGCATGCGAGCTATTACCGGCTCCTCGATTTTGCTCATAAAGCAAATTGCGAGAACTGACGCTAGTCGCTGACCCATAGCTAGTCCACGTATCTGGGAATAGTAAGTCCCAGACCACTTGAAAATGTTACATTCCAAATATTCGCTTATCAGGGTCATGATCCGCGTTTTGCTAAGTCCGAACATACTTATGGTACTGGCATGTCTATCCAACATTTTCGACAACGCTTGCAAGGGTTGATCACTCTGTACATTCGTGTAAAGCGAAGTCACATCAAATGACTCGATCACACTGTTCGAATCAAGCTTGGCGTTTTGGAGCTGTTCGATAAATCCACGAGAGTTGGATAAATGTGCTGGTACCTTCGCTAGCAATTGGCTCACTATTTTGTTCAAAAACCACGATATTCTGTCAATGGGTCCCCCAACGCAACTGATGATTGGTCTTATTTTGTAAGTATCCTCCGACAGCTAATGATTGGTCTTACAAAATAAGAGTCTTCTGTCTTGGACCCACCTACAGAATATCGTGGCTTTTGAACAAAATAGAGTCATTTGATGTGACTTCGCTTTACACGAATGTACAGAATGATCAACCCTCGCAGGCGTTGTCGAAAATGTTGGATAGACATGCCAGTACCATAAGTATGTTCGGACTTAGCAAAACGCGGATCATGACCCTGATAAGCGAATATTTGAAATGTAACATTTTCAAGTGGTCTGGGACTTACTATTCCCAGATACGTGGACTAGCTATGGGTCAGCGACTAGCGCCAGTTCTCGCAATTTGCTTTATGAGCAAAATCGAGGAGCCGGTAATAGCTCGCATGCCGCTTATGTACTGCCGTTACATCGACGATTGCTGCATTGACCTCCACACAGTCCGAAATGGACGAGTGTTTCGAACTTCTCAATCGTCAGTCGCAGTTCATAAAGCTCACTCGTGAAACACCGCACGACGGATGTCTCCCCTACCTTAACGCACAAGTAAGGTTATCCAACGGCATCGCAAGATTTGAATGGTACCGCAAGGAAAGCTGTAAGAATATTCTTGTCAATGTAAAATCTGCATATCCTGCATCTACGAAAAGAGCCGTAATTGCAAATTTCTAGAACAGGGATGCAGACTCAGACAATCGCTGGGGGCAGGCGGGCACCGGAAGAATAGATTGCTGATTTCTTGCACTCCGCTCGCGGATTTCTTGGAAAGCAACCAGGACTTTTCGAAAGACCGCTTGCTGAGTCAGCGGATTTTTGAGAGACCGCCTGTTGAATTTTTTTCGCTCTTATCTTTTGCAGATATATTGCTGAATCTCTGAGAAATCGAGAATTCAGAAAGCGGTCTTCCGAAAAGTCCTAGTTGCTTTCCAAAAAATCCGCGAGCGGGGTGCGAGAGATCAGCAATCTATTTTTCCGGTGCCCGCCTGCCCCCGGCGATTGTCTGAGGATGTGTTCCGGAGAACATGAACGACGCGAATCACGAAAGTTAGCTCTTGATATTGCTTGCAGCAATGGTTATCATTCCTTACCACGCACTCGACGTTCTGGAAATGTTAACAGCGTTCAATGCGGTACTAAGCTCCCACTTTGTCTTCCATTCACTTCTGATAGTATTAGCGCGGCATTCCAAAAATGCATTCAACGAGCACAACTGCAAGACGATGTCGTTTTAGTGAATATTCCGAACAACAACATCAAAATGCAGTTAGTTCGTAACAGGCTCTACGACCAATGTTGTACA